ACCCCCACACCCCCGCTGCAGCCTCTTGCTGACCTTCATTTTGAGTATGTCTGCTTTCTTGGGCCTCAAAAGGCATGACCTTCTCTTTCCCTCCTCCTGGCAGGTGCCAGGATCCATAGCTTACACCCTGGTGTTTTTCTCTCCAATTCTAAGAAAATTATCCTTAAAAACAAACAAAAAAAAGAAGTCTTTAAGAAAGGTGTTGGTTTATTTTGTTTATTTGTTTGTTTTGGGTTTTGGAGACAGGATTTCTCTGTGTAGCCCTAGTTGTTTGCTTTGTAGATCAGACTGACCTCAAACTCACTGAGATCCACCTGCCTCTGCCTCCTGAGTGCTGGGATTAAAGGTGTGCACTGCCACTGCCCAGCCAAAATGTGCTGAGTTTTAAAGTGTAGCCGTGCTGTACTGTATATGTGGGAAACATTGGCTCTGGAAGGAGGCTGTGCCAGAGATGAGGAAGACTTGGAGAAGAACTGTGACAAGCCACTAGAGAAACAACTTTTCCTATATGCGTTTTAAGTTGTTTGTTATGTAGCTCAGGCTGGCCTTATACCTGAGCCTCTTCAATGCTGGGATTACAGGCATGGACCGCCATTTGTTAGTTACAGTTTCTTATTGTCTACATTTCTGGCTTTTGAGAGATTATTATTATTATTACTATTAGTGTGTGTGTTGTGTGTGTGTGTGTGAGAGGTGGGGGGTGTATATGGAGTTTGGAGGACAGCTTAAGGGAGTTGGTTCCTCTTCAACCATATGGGCAGGGATTGAACTTAGTTCTTCAGGCTTGGTCACAGGAGCTTTTACCTTCTCAGCCAAAACAAAATGTACAAAAAAGCGCCGGAACAAAGGCTCTGTGGTTAAGAATGCTTCCTGCTCTTCCAGAGAACCTGAGTTTGGTTCCCAGCACCTCTGTCGACTGACTCAAAGCTACCTGTTACTCCAGTTCAAGGGGATCCAGTGCCCTCTTTGGGACTTTGCAGTATACATGGCTTGTGTGTGCACATGTACTAGCACATATATAAATATATATATGTATTATGCAAGCACATACACAATTTCAAAGATTTTTTTTTTTCAAGATGGTTTCTCTGTGTAGCTTTGGAGCCTGTCCTGGTACTAGCTCTGTAGACCAGGCTGGCCTCAAACTCACAGAGATCCGCCTGCCTCTGCCAGGGTGCTGGGATTAAAGGTGTGTGCCACCACCACCTGGAACATTCAGAGACTTTTAAAAATCATGTTATGGGGCCTAGAGATGGCTCAGTGGTTAAGAGTACTGGTTGCTCTTACAGAGGACCTGGATTAGATTCCCAGAATTCACATGGCACCTCACAAATGTCTGTAGCTCCAGTCCAAGGGAATCTGACACAGTCTTCTGACCTGCTTGTGTATAAGGTATAAACGTGGTGCTCAGACATGCTTGGCAAACACCCACACACATTAAAAAATAATAATAACTGGAGATGGAGAGATGGCTCAGCAGTTAAGAGCGCTGGCTGCTCTTCCAGAGGACCTGAGTTCAATCCCCAGCAACCACATGGTGGACAACTATCTGGTGCCCTCTTCTGCCATGCATGCAGGCAGACAACTTCTACCCATAAAAAGTACATAAAAAAATAAAATTAAATAGAGAAATCATGTGGATTTTCTGCAGCTTTTTCCTTTAGTTAGAGGTAATTATAATCAGTAGCAAAGTTTCTTTGTAAGCTCCCAGGAAAATAGGCAGGGGTAGAAGGAAAGTTCGGGGTCACATCTCTATGGTGTAAATCACATGGGCTGGCCAGGACCCTGCCACCTGTGCTCCTCGAGGGCCACTTTGACCTGCCTGTGTCTCCGTCCCCAGGGCCTATGATCCTGCAGACTATGAGCATCTGCCAGTCTCAGCTGAGATCAAGGAGCTCTTTGAGTACATCAGCCGGTAAGACCTTACAGAAAAGCCTGCCTTGCCCGAGCCGTTCCACTCTAGTTCGGAGCAACACCAAGCTCCTCCGATACTCTTTAGCCCAGTAAAGTGACATTTTCTAACTGCTTCCGTCTTCCCTCAACTGTCTCTCGTAGGTACACTCCTCAGCTGATCGATCTGGACCACAAACTGAAACCTTTCATTCCTGATTTTATCCCAGCTGTTGGGGATATTGATGCATTTTTAAAGGTAGAGATGGTACATCCTAAAAATGATTCCCCTGGGGTTTGTTCCAGCTCCCTACTTCTAGTTCCTCTCATTTCTCTGGTGAGAGGTAACTGCCATAATAGTCTTCATTGCATTGGAGTTCTTTTTGTTGTTGTTGTTGTTGTTTTAGTTTTTTTTTTTCAAGACAGGGTTTCTTTGCATAGTCTTGACTGTTCTAGAACTAGCTCCGTAGACCAGGCTGGTTTCAAACTCTGAGAGATCCACCTGTCTCTGCTTCCCAGGAGCTGGGATTAAAGGCGTACGTCACCACCGCCTGGCATTGCATTAGCAGTCTTAACTCCTCAGATCTCACTCACTGGGTTATGTGATACAGTGTTATGTGTTTGTCCCCTAAATGACCATGAATTCAGCCCCATATTTATGCTCCATACATCATGTGGGCTCATTCTAGATAGGAGTCAGTCTAGTATAATAGAAGGGCATGCTTCTTACTGTTGAAACCCGACTAGAAATCCGCTACGGAAGTAGTCATTTCCAGCAGCTTATGGGAAACAGGAGCCATGGCTCTGCTGTGGGTCTCCCATTTCCTCTCAGGGCTCCTAACTTCTCTCTGAACCAGGTGCCGCGTCCTGACGGAAAGCCTGACCACCTTGGCCTCTTGGTGTTAGACGAGCCATCTACAAAGCAGTCGGACCCTACTGTGCTCTCACTGTGGTTAACAGAGAATTCCAAGCAGCACAATATCACGGTGAGCTGCTGGTCTAGGGCAGGGCCCAGCTGGAAAGCACGGGATTTAGATCAGAGGCTACACTGAGCACTGCCTATTAAAAGGGGGTGCGGCTTCAGGCCATCCTGGGTTTTTAGTGATGGCTTTATTGAGATAGTTTACATACCATAAAAGTCACACACACACACACACACACACACACTTTTTTTTTAATTTGAAGATTATGCATATGGGTTTTGCTTGCATGTGTATCAATGCATCTCATGGATACAGTGAAGACGCAGTGCGATCAGTAATGAAAGGTCCCCAGGCTATCTTACAAAAGATACAGCTTTAATAAAACAGAAGGAAAAACTTACATAGAATCCCACCCGTCTGGAACGCTGGATACAGGCCGATACAGGCCGGAGCGAGAGGGAGAAAGAGAGGGTGGGAAATTGCACCCGCAAGGTTTATAGGTGAACTTTTGCCTTAGGGCAACACGCCCCACAAACAGAATGTGATTGGCTGAACTCCCCTATCAATACAGTACTCATGGGGGCCAGAAGAGAGCATTGGATCCCCTGGAGTTGGAGCTACAAATGGTTGTGAACTGCCATGTGGGTGCTGGGAATTGAACCTGGGTCCTCTCTAAGAGCAACTCCTAACCCCTGAATCATCTCTCCAACTCCAAGAGTCACCCTTTTAAACTCGACAGTTCCCTGGCTTTCAGTGCATTCATGGAGTTATACAATATACAGTGTTTCTCTATGCTAGCCAGGGTCCTAGCACTGAGCCCTTCCTAGCTAAGTTACAAAGTTTTGTCCTCAGAAAGAAGCCCTATAGCTGTTCTCTCTCCCTAAACACTAGTGACCACTCCATTCCTCTTGTAACTAAGTAATATTCTTTTTATGTTTATGCCACATTTTATTAGACTTATCTGTTGTTACCACTTTTGTTAATAATGCAGCTAGAATATTCAAGTGTAAGTCTTTGTATGGCATATGTGTAATTTCTTAGATATGTGTGGAGGAGGAGGACTGCATTGCCATTTACTTATGCTGGTCATCATTTTGAAGAACTGCCAGATGTTTTCTGAATCGGTAGCAGTTTCACCAGCAATGAATAAGAATTGAAATTTCTCTAAATCTTAACTTATACTTGTTAAGTTAAGGAATTGGCCCTTTCAATTCCAGCCATCCTAGCAGATGTGAAATGGCATTTCACTGTGGTCAGCGCTCCCTTTTACTGTGCATCCTTCCCATGGTTCCACCGTTACTTTGTTTGTTTGTTTGTTTTTCTATTTGAGACAAGATCTCAGGTAGCCCAGGCTAGCCTCAAAACTCCAGATCTTCCTGCCTCTACTTCCCAAGTCCTGGGATTATAGTTTCCAGGTATACATCACTATGCTCAGCTAACAGTACTTTTTCTTCTCTTTTGGCTTTTTGAGATAGGGTCTCTCTATGTAGCCTTGGCTGGCCTGGAACTCACTATAGACCAGGATGGCCTCAGGTCTACCTATTTCTACCTCCCAAGTACTGGGATTAAACGTATGTGCTATCAGACCCAGCAAACAGCACTTTTCCAATGAGCTGTTTTAAATTACTGTTCTAATATACTTTCTGCTGCTGTGAGAAACACCATGACCAAAAACAACTTGGGGAAAGATTAATTGGGAAGGGACTAATAATAAGGAAAGGGTTAATTTGACTTACACGTCCCATGTTACAGCCCATTCATCGAGGGAAGTCAAGGCAGGAACCTGGAGGCAGGAACTGAAGCAGAACCATGGAAGAGTGCTGCTTGCTGGCTTGTTCTTCCTGTCTTGCTCAGCCTGCTTTCTTATACACCCAAGCCCACCTGCGTAGGGACTGGGTCCTCCCACGTCAGTCATCAACCAAGAAAATCCCCACAGGCCAAGTTAGTGGAGGCGATTCCTCAACTACGGATCCCTTTTCTCAGATGACTTCAGCTTGTGTCTAGTTGACATAAAACAACACCACACACGCACACACACAAACCCAAATAACCAATACAGCTACCATACAAAATAATGGTTTCATTATGATGCATCTGTATCACTGTTCTCCTTATTTTTCTAGCAACATATGAAAGTAAAGAGCCTGGAAGATGCAGAAAAGAATCCCAAGGCCATTGACACCTGGATTGAGAGCATCTCTGAGTTACACCGTTCTAAGCCCCCTGCGACTGTGCACTACACCAGGTGATGATAGCTACAGGTCCCTGTGTGCTCATAGCTGGCCCTCAACTCAGTCTTCTTCCTGTTTCTGCCTCCTGCATGACAGCACATGGCAGAGATATGACTTCACCACTGTAGTTCAGAGTAACCGTCACTATCTGTGACCCTTTGCTCCTAAGAAAGGCCAAAACCTGGGGGTAAATTGGATCAACCTGAGGTCCTTAAAAAATATACACTTCCACTGTACTTTATTTGATTTAGAAATAGGAAAGATGGCAGTTACTGGCACAGATTGCAGATGCAAAGATGAGCGTTCTCAGTGTTGTTTCCAACTGGCTGGTTAATTTGGTTTTCCAGTCTAGGTCTCCTGAAACCCTGGTGTGCCCAGTTGAGGACTGGTTTAGAGGTAGCTGATGTCATTGATCAATGATTCATCTTCATATTTACTTCTCCACTTTTAGGCCCATGCCTGACATTGACACGCTGATGCAGGAGTGGTCCCCAGAGTTTGAAGAACTCTTGGGAAAGGTGAGTGGGAAGGATAGGAGTAAGTGTGGCATCTACCCAGGGCCCAGTGTTTTCTCTCTTCTGTGTTAGCATTCTGGCTTCTAAATGGAACTGGAACCCATGATAGAAATATCTATATACTGTAAAGCTTGATCATTTTGCCAACACATTATATAACTAATACATTAGGTTAGTAAACTGTACACTGCTAACCTTCCAGAAACCCCTTCTGTTCTCCCCTTCCAGAGTGACCTCTGGCCCGTTTTTACACTTTCTCTACATCTAAATACCTCTTCCCCTTTCCATCCCCTGCACTGGAGATTGAACCTAGGACCTCATGCATGGTAGGCAAGTGCTCTATCACTGAGCTAGGCTTGTCATCAGCCCTCTAAACATATTGTTATGCCCTCTTCTTCCCTGTGTGATGGGAGAGTCATTCATGTTGTTCTATGTCTTGTTTATCCATTTTTACAAATGAGTAGTATACTGTCCTTTAATTTGTGATGATGGGCATTTGCATAGTTTCCAGGTTCCATGTATTGCAATAATGCTACTGGGACATTCTGTCTAGCAGGCAGCTCTGATAAACACGTACCACCTGCATTATTACTTCAGGTGCCCTTTTTCTAGAGGTATTGTTTATGTTAGTGTAAGACGCCAATGTCTCATTTAAAATTGCCCAAATGTTTAAATCGTATCTGTCCATCCATCCATCCTTTCATCTATTTTCTGTCTGCCTGCCAGCCTGTCTACTAATCATCTATTCCTGGGGATTGAGCCAAGGACGTCCTGCGTATTAGCCAGGTGCTTTACGAAGTGAGCTAAATCTGTGCCCTGTACTCTCTAATTTTTGTAGCAAGAGAAAAAAAAAATCTAGGAAACTTTTTTTGTTTGGTTGGTTTTTGATTTTTTTGATTGTTTGTTTTAGAGACAGGGTCTCACTGTGAATCCTCAATTGGAACTATGTAGCCAAGGTTGACCTCCAACCCATGGTACTCCTGCTTCAGCCTCCTCAGTACTGGGATTACAGGCATAAGCCACCACACCCAAGCAGAACCAAGTTTTCCTTCATTTTTAATTTTTTCACTAGCATACAAACTGCCAGCTTTCGTTGTGGCATGTGCATACATCCTTACCTGTAGTTGATCCTTTCCCCATGTCTTCTCTCCCATCACTTTGTCCTCCCAGTGAACTCCTTTCCACTTACAGATCGTGTGAGTTCTGTGACCCTTCCACTCTTCCTTAAACCCTTACTTTTCCCTTCTCAACTGCCCTATCTCGTTTCCTAGCCTCTTTCAATGCTTACTCCCACATGAATACATATATACAAAAATTAAAAGTGAGAGGCCGCGTAGGAGAGAACATGTGTTATTTGTCTTTCCATTTTCCTGTAAATTTCATTTCATCTTTCTTTATGGCTAAATGAAATTCTATTGTGTATAGGTACCACATTTTCATTATCCATTCATCTGTTGATGTACATCTAGACTGAACCATTTCCTTGTTATTACGAAAAAGCAACAATAAGCATGAATTAGTGAATGTCTCTGTAGTAGGCATCCTTTGGGCATGTGCCCGGGAATGGTAGAGCTGAGTCACATATATGGACATTCTGTTTTTAGTGGTTTGTTTGTTTTTTTTTCAAGACAGGGTTTCTCTGTATAGCACTGGCTATCCTAGAACACGCTCTGTAGACCAGGCTGGCCTCAAACTCACAGAGAGTTTTAGTGAGTTTGCCTTTTAGTGTTTTAAGAAACCTCCACACTGATATCTAAAGTAGCTGTGTCAGTGTGTACCCCATCATCAGTGCGTCAGGTCCATCTCTCCCCACAGTGTGCATTCCATCAG